CTGTATTGAAATTATTTATGATGTAATGTGTGGGGTCTTACACTGCTATAGATTTTTAGGACATCTGCAGCATAAAGGACTTTTTAAAAAACACTTTCTACACGCTCCATATTAATAGTTGAGGGTTTAAAATGAAAAACAAAGGCCCTTGTCTGTTACTGGTACCGTGCCTATGCATTTCATAAGGTTTCCTGTGTTGCAAGAGTGAATACAATAACTGCAAATCACACAAATGCACTTCAAATACAAGCTCTGATTTTTCAGAACCGGAATTTAGGATTTCTGAAGCAGAAAAGAACCACTTCTCAGATGGTCACAGGAGATCCCTTGATTTCACTCTCCGCAAGCCACCAGGCGCCACCATCTTTTGAATGCAGATCCAAGATACCCCGTGAGATTCACCACGTTTGTCGTCTGGCTTTCCTGTCCTGCTTAAATCTCTTTATGAGACCTCTTTCAACTCAGCCCCACCATGGTAACTCAGAGGATGCAATTAGCGCTGGAGTCCTTACTCACCTACCAGGCAAACCCAAACATGTGCTTCCAGCAGAGTTTTAAATAGCTGCCCAGGCTGGGGGCCTATTGTTTGATAGCTCCAATGTGAATTCTGAAAATAGGAGGTTTGGACAGGATTTCCACTTTTAGAGGAGTAGGAAATGAAATCATGTTTTAGTAAAGCTCTGTTTAGGGGTGTTTTGTCTCCATGTGCGCCTTGTTTAGCGAGAAAAATCCAGAAGGGTTTTGCTGCTGCCCTTTTAACCACGGTTCAGATCACAGACACAGGTACCAATTAGGTGGCCAGGTCTAAGGCCGTACATTAACTTGTCTGTAATTACTTACAGCATAGAAATCTCCACCTTTTCTTCTGCTCATTGTTTTGCATCATTAGCATGTAGAGGATGGAGTGCTATCATATCTGAGCATCTCATCTCTTCAGAGAGACCAGAACCCCGTGTTCTTCTATTTGGTGTTCTTACATGTTGCCCAAAGCAAGTTTCAGTAAGTGGCCCAGTAAGGAATTCTTTACTGAAAGAGTTGTTGTCTCATTTTAAATAACTTTTGAAGCGTGGTTTTACGTGAAGATGAGGGATTTGCTTTGTGACAACAGGAGTCACTGTCCCCATCTCTGCATAGGCTGAAATAGTTTTTTAATGTCTGTATTTTTCCTGCAATGTGTTGGCACTTCTCAAAACAACTCCATGTCGTGAATCATTTCCAAGCTACAATTAAAGTAGCTGAGGAGCAGAAGGAGAAATGGAGTAAAATGCAAGGCAGGAAGAATTAAGGAATGGGTTATTTGACTTTTATCACAGTTAGGCCAGCATAAGTGACCTAGCTTCACAATGTAGCAAAAAAAACCCACCCCAACGTGAAGAAGAGAAGCCTAGCTCTGCATTTGAAGAAGTTACTCTGTGCACTCTGAGACATCAGCAAGGGTGAAACACTGTCGTGTTTGTCGAAGGAGTTAAAATTTGAACTAGGATACTGCTGGATGATACCAGTGTGGCCATGTTCAGTATTTCATCATTAGCTTTTTGTTTGCTATTTTGGCCAAAGGGCCTGATTTCTGGAGCAGAGCGAAGGCCGTGGGTGGGGTGCTGGGTGGCATCACAAACCTGATCTCGTTGTGAAACACAGAGATTTCTTTTCCCTTCTGTGAGTGCGCTCATGGGCACAATTTATTCAGTTCCATGTGTTTGCAGCCTATCAAATGCAAACCTTTATAAATAGGCTATAAATAGGCTCATCGCTCTTCCTGACACACCCAGGGGTGGTTTTTTTTTTGCCTTTTTAATGAGTCAGAAATTTTTTTGTTGCACTCCTGGCGAAGGTGTGTGGGGGAGTTACAGCAGTCGATAGCCGAATGCCCCAATGCTTGCAAAGTGCATGACTTGGTGCTTAACCCATGGTAGGAGAAAGCCCCACCATCTATCAGCTGGAGCAGAGGAGAGATGATCAAGAGCAATAGCACTCTTCTGGCGCTGCCCGGAGCTCGTTGTGATCTTGGGCAAGTTACTGAACCTTGTAAAAACAGATTTGGGCTTGTTTTACAGATGATAACCACTTATCTCCTGAGAGTGCCAGAAAGCTTAGCTCACTTTTGCTAATGCTCTGGGAAGAAGGGCTGTTGAAGTTCAGATATTAGTCCAGGCTAAGGAAACAACCGCCTTTGATGTGGAGAGAAGCGTTGCCCCACTGATGGTTCCTTCAGAAGGTTCATGTGTTGGGGACATGTTTGCTTACATTGTTCCTGTACTGGTTTCAAAGCAGGGGGGCAGAGACCTCTTGAGCAATCTTTTTAGTATTGGCCGCGCTTGTTACTTACTGGTTCCTCTTTCGTTTGAACTGTTTGCCAAAAGTCAGAACCTGTCCCAGGCTCTTACCCCCCTCCCCGAGTCTGACATCTTCTCAGATGCAGGGAAGGAGAACATCAAAGCGTTGCGAGCGGTTGCCCTTTCGAAGAACATTCCCTGGGGTTTAGCAAGATGCTTGTTTGATCCTGTTAAGATGAAAATGGATTGTCAGCTCTGTCACCTCTCTTTCAAGGCTGTATTAGATATCTGGGGGAGTTTTAAGAGAACCTTGTTGGCTGCAGATCAGGACATGGCCTTTTCATCACCTCCCGTTGTCCCCTTGGGGCTGGTGTTTCACATACGCTCCATCCAAGGGACCTCTACATGTACATCCATGATGTACCCGTTTAAGGAGACCATGTGTCTTGACTGAGGTTTCTCTAGTTGTTTTCATGTTGGAGCTTTTGCTGTCCCACAGAAGACTTTGGCTTCATGACAAGGAGGTGGCTGTCCCAAAGTGCTTCTCTGTAGCTGCTCATGGGTTGTGTTTACTTTCTGCTCCAACCCTGAAAAGTCCACTGGCTGTATTCTAGCTTATTTTGCAGATGGGATTCTTATGGGAATAGACAGAAAATGGTTTAAAAAATGAAAGAAAATCAAAGGTTTAGTTTTTCTCATGCTATTAAGGAGTCATTTATAATGATTCTTTTTTTTAACTCTGCATTCTAGCAAACTTCCACTGCATTGTGATAGGGAGAGTCAAGTTCACAGCGCTTGAGTCAGCTCCCGTAGGGTGGCGTGGCCTTCTTTACAGCCTGCATGTAACTCCCTGCGTATGTGGAGGATAGAAACAGAATTAATAACTCTTACCCGCTCCTTACTCTGATGTCCTTGGGAAGATGAGCAAAGCAAGAAGTTGTAGGGGGAGGGATGTGCGGTTCTGAAGGGCATTAAAGGCAAGTTTCCCCCAAAGTTGTACCGTTCCCCCCAACTTCTTCCTTGAACATTTGAGGCTTCTGTTCAGGGAATGAGTGGAATTTGTGAACGGATTTCATCTGGGCTGCCGAGTTCCCTGTCCATCCTGGTCATGTATTAGAATGCACGTGCAATTTTTCCAAGATCAGAAGTAGGTCTTCCTACCCTTATACTTTTTTATAACATCAGAACTGGTAAATCTGTTCCTTCATCTTTCACATCATCCTCTTGCTAATAAATCCCCAGTGCTGGAATTACAGAAGTTTTCTCACCTTTCAGCTTCGGAGCCTCCCAGTTGTTTTGAGCTGTTGCAGCAACAACCATGTGTGTTTTCCTCCCCTTCTGCACTTGTCTTTGATACCTTTCCAGCTGCATTTGCTCTCCTTAGGAAGCCGTGCAGCCCCGTCTCTGACAATTTTGGTGTCCTAATAGCAGTTTTGACCTCTCAATTAACTTCAGGATCGGCTCTTTCAGCAGACAAAACCTGTATAGATGCCAAAAGCCTCAGAACAGATTTGGAAGGTTGGCTGAAAGACCATGAAGATTAGGGACATATTTTTCCTTTTGTCAGGGAAATCAACAGCAACGGGCCTCGATACAAGAAGGAAACTTTCCCACTGACCACAAATAGGGGCTTAAATTGAATTTTCAAGCCTTTAAAAATAAATCGTCATTTTGTATTTAATTAAGCAGAGTTTCATGAATGTAGTAGTATGCTGAGGTCATGGGCAAAAAGAAGCTTTTCCAGTAATTAGTGCAGGGTCCATGCTGTTCTGGCAAAAACAGCCATGACGTCAGTCTGAGACTGGAACAAGAAACTGTGCCGCACGGTGAACTTGAAACACAAACCGTATTATTGAAGAGACATGCCTGACAGTTCCAAGTGCCGGTTGTGTTGGACACATGTTATATTTTTCCTTTTTAAAATTGCAAAAAGGTGGTGTGGGTTTTGTTTAATTACTTTTTTTTTTTAGTTTCTGAGTCAGTGAAAGTGCTGCCTGCCAGGGCATCCTTTCTCCTGTTTCCCCTGCCCTAAATAAATAAATAAATTTAAAGTTATTAAACTTCCAACCTTCTTGTTTTGTAAATATGTAAAGTGGCCACTTCCATGTTTTTATTTAGCAGAAGCAGCTTGGTTTTCCTTTTGTTTTGTGAACCCAAATGCAAACCAGCAGCGAGCTTGAGACGCACAGGGCATGCCTGGGCAGGTCGTGCTCTCGCAGCCATTTAGGTCTTTGTTTTAGGTGAAATTGCGGTGTTTTCAGTACCAGCCAAGTGTTGTGACAGCGTTTGGAGTATGTAGTTTTGCAGCACTTGGCTTCTAGTTTCTGGGGAGTTACTGGAGTCCTGTGGAGCTGAAAAAGTTTGACCATGTAATCCGGCTTTTGGTACGTTGGTGAAATCTTCACTTCAGTTACTTAATACTCTTGAGTTTACTTGTCACTGATCAAAAATAAACTGGTCAGATAAGGGTGGCTTATATTTCTTGGTTTATAATTTGACAGAGAAGAATTACACATCTTTTCCTTTTAAAGTCTACGAGAAATACTTATCTCTGATAATAACATATAAATTCCCAAGATAGTGTTTAATTTAGAGTTGTGACCCTCAATAACTTGCTCTTGCCTGATTTAATGTAAAGACTGTGTGTGTCAAAGGAGGTGCTTGGTTGTGTTTCTTCAGCGCATGGGATTGTTTTTTTTCACTATTTCCCTTGGTTTTGTTTTGCAGGCCATGACTGCTGTGAGACAGTGAAGGTGGCACTTTGTGCCTCTAGAGAAGGTCATCCTGTTCTGGTTGTGGCAGAAGAGAGTTTCCAGTTTGTCCAGGATGAAGCCTACGATGCTGCCCAGTTTCTGGCCACCTGCGCTGGCAACCAGCAGGCACTAAATTTCACCCGGTTCTTGGACAGGTCGAGACCACCTGCTGCCGACGTGGACTTTTTGGATGAAAAAGTGGCTTTGGCGTTTCGACACCTGAAACTGCCGGCAGAATGGAACGTGCTGGGAGCGGACCAGTCCCTGACCGGTGAGGACTTCTAGGGCACGTCTGAGACTCACAGGTTGGGAGGGAGGTAATAAGCCTGGGAGAAACAGTTCCCAAAGTGTAAAGGTTCCCAAAACTCCACGTGTCTTTCAAAAGGTGTGTTGTGTGTTGGCCTCTGTGCGTGGAGATGGGATGTGATGTGCACCAGGTTGTCCCTACTACATCTCCGTCCTGTGCTTTGCACTTCAGCCACCTTAAAACATACAAAGCACTGATGTTTTCTCTGTGTCTCCTCTTATGAAATAGCACAAGCTGTTGTAAGTGGTCAGTATTTTAAAACACACCCATAAGGGGTTGTTTTTTCTGTGTGTGTAGAGGTTTGTGTATCAACATCACAAGTCTGAGATTTCCTGAAAGAAACCTGTCCGTGGGTGGCAAGCCTGATACTCCTGGGAATGCTATCCTTGTGCCACAAACTTGGCACTTTTGTTAGATGTTGGGTTTACAGCTCATGTGCAAAGTGATTGTAACATGTGAAATGTGTCTAATTTTTCTTGGAGAAGTTGGGGATCTGCCCGTGAGGATTTGTATCACATCCCTGGTTGGACATCAGCTGGGCAAACACAGGCGTTCCCCAAAATAAGCCTTGGACAATTCTGCAAATAAAATGTGGAGGTGGGAAAGCCTGACTAATGGTAGCCCTTTACCACAGCAGAGAAGGCTACCAAGAGCTTATCAATAACCCCCAAGGCTGGCCCAGAGTCTCTGGAGACTGCCAGAGCAGAGGTGCCGAGGTGTTCGGGATGCAGTGGCACATCTGTGTCCTTGGAGTCCTGCTTTTTTTTGGTCACAGGGGAGCTTAAGGAAGCATATGGAGGCACTGGGGGGGCTAGTTCCAGCGTGTAAAAATTCTTACTGTAAATTTTCAAGGCATGTTGGCAAACAGTTTCACTTAAGGAATGTGGCTGTGAGGCATCCGTTATCTTTTATAGGATATAACGGCGTAAACACACGAAGAGGAAGGGGACGTGGATCTCTCGGCACAGCAGGCTCAGTTCTCACCACGACAGGGTTTTCTGCAGGAGTTTTTCTTGCTTTGGTTTTCACTGACTTGCTGACTGCTCTGGTAAACCTGATTACGCAGGCAGTTGAAGCAGTGTTAGCAGGCATTCAAAGATTTGATCATATTTAATGGTTTCTGGATAGAAATTCAGATGCTGTCACGTGTTTACAAGAAGATAAACACTTGGGTTTTTCTTCCTCTGCATGGAAGACACTGATGTTTCTTTCTGCGTTTAATAAGGCTGTGATAATGCAGACACCTCTAGTTTAAGTGATAAAAATACAGTCAAAGGGGGCTTAAGTTAATGAAAACTTTGATTGAAGCTCTGAATTGTTGCTGATTTTGCAGGAAGGCTGAGATCTGGTTTCTCTTTTTGACTTTGATTATTCTTTGGGAAATCAGCCCTTAGGAAAATCAGGCTGTAGGATTTACACTGATGTGCTCAGCGTGTGCCTGTGGGCCTGGAAGTCATGATTTTTTTGGAGCTCTGAATGCTAATGGAGCTGTAGAGCATCCGTTGCATCCACAGCGGGAAGGGGCAGCTCTCTAGTGCTCAGCATTTTGGCATCTTGTAGTGAGGTTTCTGTAAACAAAGTGTAAGTGAATAAATATAATGGCACTGAACACAGCTTTCATTCGAGAATATTGGTGCTATAAAATATATTCCCGTGCAGTAAGTCCTTTCATAAAGAACTGAAAAAAGGGCAGTTTATTGATGTTTTGGTCTTTCATCTTCTGATCAGCTTTTTTGCTAGAGGCAGGTTTATCTGGGAATTTTTTGCAGTGATCTAATTATACGTAAGGAATTTGGGGGAATTTTTGTGATTGTGATGGGAAGGATTTGCATGTGTAAGCACCCTTTTTGGTCATGAAACTCTTTTTTTGCCAGAGCGAGATGGAAGAGACGTCTCTGATTTAGGATGGAGCACTGGAGTAGAAAATCCTCAGCGGTAAAAAGAAGTAGCACTCCTCTCACTGGTGGCTGTGGGTTAATTTGCGTGGGGGAGAGAGAAAAGCACAGCAGAGATTGAGGCTTTGGGAGCATGTGACCAACTATGTGTGTCCTGGCCAGTGCCCCTCCAGTGGGACACCCCGTCCCGCGCTGCGTCACTACCTATGAACAGCTATTCTGATTCATATTTCACATTTTGCTAAATGTCAGCACCAGATACTTCAAATAACCTTCTCGAAGGAGAAAATACTATAGAAATGAGAACAAAAGAAAACGTCAGATCCCTCCTTGAAAGATTCTTAGCGCTGCCTCTAAGCTGGCATGTCTCTATGGGCTCTTGTGGGCTGGAAACAAAACGCTGCTGTTTAGCAAAACCTCTGAAGGCAGGAGCGAGCCGGGAGCCTCAGCCAGCTCCCCGAGTGCCACAGCTTGATGGGGAATTGCTGTTCAGAGATGCCTGTTGCTGTCAAACATGTTTAAAAGTTGCTTTTTCCAAGGGCTGAAGTCGGAGTCTTAGCTTTTACAAAAACAGTTAGGAAGTCACGGCTTTTCTGCAGGTGGAAGGTGCACTGTCAAGCCCAGCTCTGTGCTGGTTTTTGGGGGAGAGAATGGCTCTGTGTGGAGGCTTCTCCTTGCTTTTTCCTGCAGCCAGCCCTGAGCAGTCCTTGGGCAGAGGGCAGGGAGTTCATTGCCGTCACACAGCCCAGAGGGCAGAGAAACTGCTGAAAGTAACGCCCAGGTCCATCTGCCGAGGCTGTTCAGCTGATCTCTGGGGTCAGTGGGTTTGTGCAGTGCAAAGGGCAGGGTTAAGGTCCACATGGTGAGAAGGAGACACCTAACAACCCATATGCTCCTGGCTGCCAGCAGAGGGGTGGTCACACCATTAAAACAGTCTTCAGTGGTCTGCATTAACCCATTATTCATAAAATCAGAGTATGGTTAGAGTTGGAAGGGACCTTAAACATCAGCTGGTTCCAACCCCACCTTGTCCTGGGCAGGGACACCAGCATCCCCCTCCCCTTTTCCAACAATTTAGTAGGTTTGACTTTTTAGTAGGGAAAAGTGCAGGATTACTGTGGACAGAGCTATGTGAGAATAGTCTACTTGCTGATGTTTTGCTTGTCAAAGCAAGGTCTTCATTCTTTAAGAGTTTGCCATTGCTCAAGATTAAAGGTATGGTGCAGTCATATAGCCAAATTGTTAGTGCTCAGCGTGTGCCTGTGGGCCTGGAAGTCATGATTTTTTTGGAGCTCTGAATGCTAATGGAGCTGTAGAGCATCCGTTGCATCCACAGCGGGAAGGGGCAGCTCTCTAGTGCTCAGCATTTTGGCATCTTGTAGTGAGGTTTCTGTAAACAAAGTGTAAGTGAATAAATATAATGGCACTGAACACAGCTTTCATTCGAGAATATTGGTGCTATAAAATATATTCCCGTGCAGTAAGTCCTTTCATAAAGAACTGAAAAAAGGGCAGTTTATTGATGTTTTGGTCTTTCATCTTCTGATCAGCTTTTTTGCTAGAGGCAGGTTTATCTGGGAATTTTTTGCAGTGATCTAATTATACGTAAGGAATTTGGGGGAATTTTTGTGATTGTGATGGGAAGGATTTGCATGTGTAAGCACCCTTTTTGGTCATGAAACTCTTTTTTTGCCAGAGCGAGATGGAAGAGACGTCTCTGATTTAGGATGGAGCACTGGAGTAGAAAATCCTCAGCGGTAAAAAGAAGTAGCACTCCTCTCACTGGTGGCTGTGGGTTAATTTGCGTGGGGGAGAGAGAAAAGCACAGCAGAGATTGAGGCTTTGGGAGCATGTGACCAACTATGTGTGTCCTGGCCAGTGCCCCTCCAGTGGGACACCCCGTCCCGCGCTGCGTCACTACCTATGAACAGCTATTCTGATTCATATTTCACATTTTGCTAAATGTCAGCACCAGATACTTCAAATAACCTTCTCGAAGGAGAAAATACTATAGAAATGAGAACAAAAGAAAACGTCAGATCCCTCCTTGAAAGATTCTTAGCGCTGCCTCTAAGCTGGCATGTCTCTATGGGCTCTTGTGGGCTGGAAACAAAACGCTGCTGTTTAGCAAAACCTCTGAAGGCAGGAGCGAGCCGGGAGCCTCAGCCAGCTCCCCGAGTGCCACAGCTTGATGGGGAATTGCTGTTCAGAGATGCCTGTTGCTGTCAAACATGTTTAAAAGTTGCTTTTTCCAAGGGCTGAAGTCGGAGTCTTAGCTTTTACAAAAACAGTTAGGAAGTCACGGCTTTTCTGCAGGTGGAAGGTGCACTGTCAAGCCCAGCTCTGTGCTGGTTTTTGGGGGAGAGAATGGCTCTGTGTGGAGGCTTCTCCTTGCTTTTTCCTGCAGCCAGCCCTGAGCAGTCCTTGGGCAGAGGGCAGGGAGTTCATTGCCGTCACACAGCCCAGAGGGCAGAGAAACTGCTGAAAGTAACGCCCAGGTCCATCGGCCGAGGCTGTTCAGCTGATCTCTGGTGTCAGTGGGTTTGTGCAGTGCAAAGGGCAGGGTTAAGGTCCACATGGTGAGAAGGAGACACCTAACAACCCATGAGCTCCCAGCTGCCAGCAAAGGGATGGTCACACCATTAAAACAGTCTTCAGTGGTCTGCATTAACCCATTATTCATAAAATCAGAGTATGGTTAGAGTTGGAAGGGACCTTAAACATCAGCTGGTTCCAACCCCACCTTGTCCTGGGCAGGGACACCAGCATCCCCCTCCCCTTTTCCAACAATTTAGTAGGTTTGACTTTTTAGTAGGGAAAAGTGCAGGATTACTGTGGACAGAGCTATGTGAGAATAGTCTACTTGCTGATGTTTTGCTTGTCAAAGCAAGGTCTTCATTCTTTAAGAGTTTGCCATTGCTCAAGATTAAAGGTATGGTGCAGTCATATAGCCAAATTGTTACAAGTACGTCCTTTCAGCTGCGGGTTCGAAATACCTCCATAACTATTTAAAACTGCTGGAGGACATTTGCAAACTTTCCAGTGCCCTTTTTTTTTTTTTTCTAATTG